ACTATGGTCATTTAACCAACTTTTGGTGCTTTTGGCAGTGTGGGCAGGTGTGCTGGAAAGCTGGAAAGTGAAATCAGCTTCTTCAAAAAGCTGGTCAGCAGAAGGAAGCATGAAGTGCTCCAAAATATCCGGGTGCAGTTTGCACCCCAAATCATCACAGACTGTGGAAACTTAACTCTGGACTTCAAGCAACTTGGGCTATGAGCTTCTCCACCCTTCTTCCAGACTCTAGGACCTTGGTTTCCAAATTAAATACAAAACTTGCTCTCATCTGAAAGGAGGACTTTGGACCACTGGGCAACAGTCCAGTTCTTTTTCTCCTTAGCCCAGGTAAGACGCCTCTGATGTTGTCTGTGGTTCAGGAGTGGCTTAACAAGAGGAATACGACAACTGTAGCCAAATTCCTTGACACGTCTGTGTGTGGTGGCTCTTGATGCCTTGACCCCAGCCTCAGTCCATTCCTTGTGAAGTTCACTCAAATTCTTGAATCGATTTTGCTTGACAATCCTCATAAGGCTGCGGTTCTCTTGGTTGGTTGTGCATCTTTTTCTTCCACACGTTTTCCTTCCACTCAACTTTCTGTTAACATGCTTGGATACAGCACTTTGTGAACAGCCAGCTTCTTTGGCAATGAATGTTTGTGGCTTACACTCCTTGTGAAGGGTGTCAATGATTGTCTTCTGGACAACTTTCAGATCAGCAGTCTTCCCCATGATTGTGTACAACATTGCAGCTTGCAACATTAACACAAAAGAACACTTAGTGATAATCCCAACTCAGGAAGGAGATTGTCAAATTTGGGGCAAAATAACCAAGATGATGGTCAAAGAGATGCACAGCATGACCATCACATGTAAATCCATGATAGTAATCATGATCACAGGCTCTTTGGATTGACTTCCCCCCACATAGAGGACAAGAACCAGACTGAAATTCCTTATGAGACCTTTTAAATTCTTTGGTCTTCAGAACACATTCTTACTTAACAGAATGGCACAGACACTGCCTTTCCATGTATATATGCACCTAAATGACACTAAAAGGACTTATGAGCAACTAATAATTTCTAGGCATAACTCCATATTATTTATGTAACCCACACATTTGACTATCATGTGCTAATCACTTATTGTGTATGTATTTTGAATAACTATTTAATAGTTTATAGGATTATATTCATGTTGGGTATGTATGAGTTTGAAAATTCATGCTTTAAATGTTTCTATCAATCAATACTTTGTCAAATGTATCATATTCTTGTTATAGAAATCATGTCCAAAATTATACTCGGCAAGAGTGGGAATATTCGGACCATGTGACTGATAAGATAACGTGTTGATTTATGTATTGGGAGGAGAAAAATAGCAACACCCTGAGCTAAGACAATGTCTAATTGGTCAAGACGCCATTTGGGATGTGTCCAACAGCCGAATTTTAATACTCAGGACACCATCAAATTATGCTTTTAGTCATCGCTTTTGATTTGTGCTTTTAGCCATGCTTTTTGCCATCACTTTTTGCGTTCTTTGAGCACCGTTCCAGCGTGCTTCGGCCTGCACGCCCGCTGCTACTTAGCCACGGTGAGAAAAAAAAACATCTAGTCTCGTTACTTCTATTCCTTTACTTTAATTTATTTTATTTCCGTCGAGAGTTTTGTGTTCTGAGTTAAGTTTTGCCGCAACTCTGTGTCTCCAAGTTCACCTCGCGTCTGTGACCGCCTCAAAACTTCAACAAGAATACATTACCTAAAATGAGTAATCTAGATTACATTACTAACTACAGATTTCATAATGTAATCTGTAATTATTTTTGGACTGCAAATTGTAAGAAATCTACCCAGATGAAATATATACAAATAACAAATCCAAAATCAAAATCCTTTTCTTCAGCACTCCAGTTTTAAATGTATGTTCTCTTAATTTGGCTATGAGAACATGCCTTGACATATCGATCTTCTATTGGTCACATGGTCTCATGTGATACAAATTCACCAAAGTTCACCAGACTTGAACTTTGGAATGCAGTGAAATGCAAAACAACTTCACAGGAGCCTGTGTTTCCGCTCTCCCGCATTTGTATGGAAGTCAGTGGAACGAAAAGCATAGTGTGACCGACCCTTAACATAAAAAGGGACACGTGCTTTAACATGTCAACACAGAGAAAAGAAAATTATATTTTAATGAGTATTTAAAGTGTTTTGTTTGTGACTCTTGCCTTCTTCTCCTGACTCTCCTCCTCTATAGGAACAGGGTTGTTAGTCCTGTGGTCTCCTTCAGTGCACGACAGACACACACTCCTCTGATCATCTCTGCAGAACAGCTCCAGAGGTCTCTCGTGTTTCTGGCATATATAATCCTCCAGATTTTCCACAGCGTTGATCAGTGTGTGTTTCTTTAGACGTGGGACTCTGTGATGAGGCTCCAGGTGAGTCTCACAGTAAGAGCTTTGACACGTCAGGCAGGACTTCACGGCTTTCTGCTTTCTTTCATCACAGAAGTCACAGAACACCTCAGGTCTTCCTAGATTGAGCTTCTCCTTAAAGTGTTGCGCAAAACTCTCAGCATTGTATTCAGGGGCGCCGCTATGGTTTCTGGGCCCCCTGAATATCATATTGACTTGGGATCTCTGTAGAGTTTGCTTACCCCCCATTACGGTGCCACTGGTTGTATTGATCTCAAGGTCAGGCCTTCTGCTGAATGTTTCTTTACAGAATGGACAGAACCAGGTCTGTGTGCTTGTCCAGCACTTGTTCAGGCAGGTTCTGCAGAAGTTGTGTCCACATGGAGTGGTGACTGGATCAGTGAACACATCCAGACAGATGGAGCACTTGAGCTCCTCATTTAGTGGACCGCTGGAGGATGCCATGCTGAAAAGATACGAAATGACAATATATCATCTACATTGCTGAATAGAGTAAATTTGATATATTTAATGTGCACTAAGTAATTACGTTTGTGTGCAAAAATGTATGTTGCATGTTAAAAATGATTCAAAATTATGAAGCACTGTTTAAGTCAAAGTAGCCATAAAGCAATGCATGACAGCAGTTTCTGTCAGGAAGTTAAGGCAGTGTTGATGAATGTTTAATCTGTTTTTAACCACTAAAACCTCACCCAGCTATAAGCTCTGCCCTTAACTTCCTGTCTGAGACTGCTGATATGGTGCTTCAGACGGCTCTGTGGCACTGCAATGGATATTATTCGGTGGTAGAAGAAACTAAATAAACTAAATATCTTTCACAAGAAGCCACAAATGTAACAAGTTTTTGCAACATTATTTTAATACTATTGTCACGGTTTTAGTTAGTTTGGACTGAGTTGTTGTCATGGTTTCTGAATTGAGTTGTCATTGTGTTCAGGTGTGTCTCATTAATTATTAATTAAATCTATCTATCTATCTATCTTGTTTATGAAAGACAACAGAAAAAAAGGTAAGTGCAATATTTCAAACAAATAACCCACTAAATACCTATAAACACCAGGCGTCATTTTTGTTTAATGAAGTTATGATTTCAGTGGACTTTTTTCATTCTGTCTGCAGTTCAAGTAATTGTTTCCTCTTTCTGCAGTCTTTAACAGCACACATCAAACCATCCTTTACAGCCAAATAAATGACATACTTTTGACACTTTCTGATACTGCTTCATGCTATTAAACTACTGAACTAGTTCTTTCATTTCCATCACTTACCTGTGAGTGAATATCAGGTCTGACTGTTAACTTCTGTTTCTGAATAGAAGTGTTCTTTGAAAAGCTTCCTGTTCATCTGTTTCATTTCACTTTCTCTGCAGTCTTTCACTCACTTGCCAAGATGTCATAGTAGCTCCACCTATAATCTTGAAAACAGAAAATGTTCTTATTTATCCCTGCTGAGTGTGTAAGCCTAAACAGTGTGAGAAATTTTTAGAATCTATATGCTATTTTAAGTAAATTAATTTTGATGACAGTGGTGGCAAATACCAAGTTGCTGGTTCAGATTCAGTTTGATTAATTGATTCTTACAATTCAAATTTCGACCTCAGTTTTCATTTGGTTTTGCTTCAGGATCTGATTAAATATGAAGTGGTAAACTAACATACAACCAAACTTTTAAATAGCTGTTTTGTCACATCTAAATTTCCTTTCTTAATTTTCATACAGTCTGCCAACAGTTTATTTGTATTCCTTAAAACAGTCTCCTTTCTGTGATTCTGTGTTTCTCAGGAGCTGGAAAAGGTTTGGTTGTGTGTGACTGATAGGATGGATTCAGTCTGGAGCATCAGAGATCAACTCTCTGAACAGAGATCCAGAGACACACAGGACTCAGAGCTCAGCTTCACTTTACTCGGGAGTTGGAGTCCAATGCAAATAAATAGTTCGGAAGAACTGGCTATCAAGGGCAAATACCAGCTGCTGACTGTGCCATAACCCCCCACTTAAAGAGTTAATTCACCCAAAAATTAAAATTAGCCTGTGTTTTACTCACCCTCAAGCCATCCAAGGTGTATATGACTTTGTTCTTTTTAAGACAAATCCAGTCGGAGTTATATTAAAAATTATATTAAAAATAAACTAAGCTCAATCATTGTAGTGGGCAGGTGTTTCTCTTTAACAGTCCAAAACACGTTAAATAAAGCACGCGCATCTGTAATAAAAGTAGCCTCACATGGCTCTGGGGGGTGAATGAAGGCCTCCTGTAGCGAATCCATGTGTTTTTGTCAGAATTTATATTTTAAACGTAATAAACACTTTTCTCTCACTTCTGCTGACTGTCGTATGAGGAAGCGTTCTGGCCGGTGATGTAGGACGTATACGTCGCACGTGCACCTCTGAGATATGCTAGTCTCACGAGTTTAAGGAAGCAAAGTTTCCTTACTTTAGCAAAGGAAAACCAGTATTCTTTTGGCTTATATCGAAATCCTCCGACATTACTTTACAAATCCTTGTTTTGTGCTTCTAACTCATGAACGGCGTTTTGTTTTGTTCTCTCTCTACGTTTGTCACTAATCACGCAACTCCAACGTCATCCGCCGGAACGGCTTCCACGTATGACAGATAGCGGAAGTGATAGAAAAGTGTTTATTACGTTTGAAATAGAATTTTTTTTTTCTGACAAAAACGCATGGATTCGCTACAGGAGGCCTTCATTCACCCCCCAGATCCATGTGAGGTACGTTTTATTACTGATGCGCGCGCCTTATTTAACGTGTTTTGGACTGTTAAAAAGAAACACCCGCCCACTACAACGATAGAACTTAGAAGTGCCAGGACCATTTTTAATATACAGTCATGGCCAAAACCCTTGTTCTTCATAACCTCTGCAATTCGCTCTGGCATGCTGGATATTAGCTTCTGGGTCAAATCCTGACTGATGGCGATCCATTCTTGCCTTATTAGTTCTCAGAGTTGATTGCAATTTGGGGGCTTCTGCTTGTCCACTCGCCTTTTGAGGACTGACCACAGGTTCCAAAATTTCAATGTAATGATCTTCGAGTCACTTCTTTATTACTCTTGCTGTGTGACATGGTGCTCCATAATGCTGGAAAATGCACGGATCATCACCAAATTGATCGTTGAAAGAAGTCGCTTTTGCAGGACATTTTCATACCATTCTTTATTCATGGCAGTGTTTTTGGGCAGAATTATGAGAGAGCCCACTCCCTTGGTTGAAAAGCAACCCCACACATGGATGGTCTCAAGATGCTTCACTGTTGGCACATCACAGGACTCATGGTAGCATTCACCTTTTCTTCTCCGAACAATCGATTTTCCAGATGTCCCAAACAGTTGGAAGGGAGCTTTATCAGAGAAAATAACTTCACAACAGTCTTCTACTGTCCAATCCTCGTACTTCCTGCAGAATTTCAGTCTGTCCTTGATGTTTTTCTTGGAGAGAAGTAGCTTCTTTGCTGCCCTTCTTGACACCAGGCCATTGTCTAAAAGTCTTAGCTTCACTGTGCATGCAGATGCTCTCACACCAACCTGCTGCCATTCCTGAGCAAACGCTAAACTGCTGGTGACACGATTCCATAGCTGACTCCTCAGGAGGAGACGGTCCTGCTGCTTGCTGGACACTCTGGGACATCCTAAAGACTACGTCATTGCAGTCGAACCCCTCTCCTTGAAGTTCTTGATTATCTGGTAAATGGTTCTTTTAGGTGCAATATTCTTTATAGCAATTTCCTTGCATATGAGGCAATTTTAGATGCAAAGCGATGATGGCTGCACTTAGGGCTGGGCGATTTTTCCGATTTTATCGCTTAATTCGAATGTAATGTTTTGCCGCGATTTTATTTTGTAGAAATCGAGGAATTGCGACTTTGAATAGAAATATTACCAAATGTTACAATTAGATAATTTGACAATATGCCAATGATAACAGTAAAGAGAAAAGAACGACCCAACCGCATGTCAGAGCACGTGATTAACCGCTCACATGCGACACACTTATACTGCGAGGCGCGGTTGACAAAGATGCAACATGGACAGTGCAATAGAAAAAACATGCAAGAAGATGTGAGTGAACATTTTAATCTGAGCACTGCATTTCTATAATGCCGTTTCATGCATGAAATGCTGCAAAAGATGCTAGTGCAACAGTCAAACGCGTCCATGTTTACATAGAAAAAACAATGAAAAAGCAGTGCAATCAAATAAAAAAAACATGTAAAGAACTATTACTGTATGTCTAATATTTCATGTTTGCATCATGGAAACAGGCTGAAAGCTGTGGTTCATTGTTTTCACAGAACATTTATTGTTAATAGTCTACTATTACATTACTACTATACATTCAGAAGTCAGAAAGAGCTTTATTACCAAGTATGTTTACACACACGTGGAATTTGACTTGAAGTGAAGAAAGTATGGACCTAGTGCAAACTAATGCAGCAGACATAGGACTTACACAGTAGAGATGGAGTATTACACTAATATAAGAAAAACAGAAAATTAAATAATGCAATATATGCAGAAATAGAAATATAGAGAAATTTAACTTTTTAAATGAATGTACAGATATATTTAAAAGTGCACAGTTTAGAAATGTAGAATTTTCTTTAACTAGAGGGTTAATAAAGAAAAAGCTATTTGAATCATGTTGTAGTAACATTAAATTGACTAGTTAAAAATCGTAAAAAAATCAAGAATCGGTCAAACGTTCTGAAAAAAAAAATCGAGAATTTTTTTTTTTTGCTAAATCGCCCAGCCCTATCTGCACGTGTTTCTTTGGAGGTAACCATTGCTAACAAGAACACAATGATTGGAAGCCCTCCTTTTACAGCAATCAGTCCCAGGGGTGTAAATTTCGTCTAACAGTAGGGGGGCACAATAAACATAAAATTTCTCAAGAGTAATTTTTGAAGGGGACACAAATAATACAGCTAAAATTGTACTTGTAAGGATGTGTACTGCACGTGTTTCTTTGGAGGTAACCATTGCAAACAAGAACAAAATGATTGGAAGCCCTCCTTTTACAGCAATCAGTCCCAGGGGTGTAAATTTCGTCTAACAGTAGGGGGGCACAATAAACATAAAATTTCTCAAGAGTAATTTTTGAAGGGGACACAAATAATACAGCTAAAATTGTACTTGTAAGGATGTGTATAAACGAGAGGAAAGCCTTACTACTATTCGTGCAGCAGGGAGACCGTGCCAAATTAGACAACTTCTATCCGGGTTTTCCCGTGGAATTCGGCTACTTTATCACTGTTGCCGCAGGTTGTTTTTCATGTCCGTGGGTTGAAGCGACCCAATAACGTGTATTTTAGCCCCCTGGAACGTGATTTTTTTTTACCGGGGGACCCCCTCGAAACGCTGTTAGTTTGGGCTAGTTTTGGGTAGCAATTGGGAGGGTTTTGTTGTAAAAAAAAAAACTGGCAACCTTTTTCGTCAAGCAGGTAACGCGGTTATTATTGCTTGGAGTATAGACGGACGGCTGCCTCAGTGTGTTGGTGCGTTTTGTTTTGTTTGTTTGTCTTTTGTGATGATACATTGAGCTCGTACACCAGAGAAGAGCTCATGAACATTAGAGCTACAGTCCTTACGGATTTATTTGCCATTTTTATCTACACATCCGTGAATTTTTTGGATGTTCTGGTCAAACCTTTGCGTATGCAGTGAAACGCCGGAGGAGGGGGAAGCATGTCGGTGCGCTCGTGCACCTCCATCGATGCGGATATCGTACACCGCTGCCAGGAATATTTCTTTCCAATGTGCGTTCACTGTGCTACAAAATGGATGAACTTCATCTACTGGTAGGAAAAGACAGTGGAGTGGGCTCCATCGGCTGGACAGGTGGCAGAGCGCGTGGTGATTGACCATCTCCTCCGAGCCCTTCCCTGATCCCACCGACAGGCAGTGGGGATGAGGAACCCAACCACCACCTTCGAGCTGGTGGAGGCTGTCGAGCTGGCGGATGC